ACAGGTGCTTTAGGAGAACCCCTTTGACTCGGTCTTATCACTAATTAACTTTTAGGTCTGTGTGTATGTGTGTGTGTGTGTGTGTGTGTGTGTGTGTGCATGTGTGTGTGTGTGCGTGCACGCGCGCACTTGCCATTCATGGGAAAGCTTTGCCTTTTTAACTGTCTCATCCTTTGAATGCTTCCTAAACCTTTCTATTTTAATATTCCCTTTGATGTTCAGTTTAACGTACAAACTGCTATTTAAAGAAACTAAAATAGATAAATAAATAATCATTCATGTTCAAAATTAGCACTTAAAATATATATTTGCCATCACTGATTATATGCTTATTAAACTCTGTTACTCTAAATATCAGTCTGTTGTTTGCATGTAAACAAATGGAACATATCTAAAACTGAAATKATTTGAAAAGCTCAAAAAGGAAACAAAAGTAGGTCCTCTGGACGGGTTCCTCTTCCAGAGGACCTGCTTATTTTTTATTTTTATTTATTTTTACCTGGATTACTGAGATGCATCAGGACAATTTGAAAAGTCCTAGCTTTCTTTGAATGAATTATCGCTTGCCACTTTTTCTGACGGAGGTTTTTTTTACAGAGACTGCCACAGCGACATCCGTGTTTACTTGAATCCACCCGCTTCGGATGTTATCATCCACTGAATGGACGTTATTAGCCGTTATCAGTCCCATACAATGGCTTCAGACTGGTTTCAGACTGTCCCACCTGTGTCGCCCGGTGGGTTCTTCATCCCATATGGCTTTATACTGTCAACCAGTTAATATGAGGCATAAAACCACTAAGGTTAATTTTAGAGAAAATGACATGGGCTACGATAAAGTAGATCAGACTCCGGCAGTAGCAGATTGTTGCGTTCCAACGTATATGGCACTGGTAACCCACTAGGGGGCACTGTCGGGACAGTTTAATGAATGAATGAATTTTCATTTATGAGGACGATGTGCAATTAAAACATAAACATAAAAACATTTGATGCATTGCACCAGATTTAATCTAAGGCTAGTTTACATCTGCAGTCCTCCTAGTCTGAAGCCATTCTATGGGACTGATAACCGCTWATAACGTCCATTTAATGGACTAATGACATCCGAACCAGCTTGAATCAGTGTGTTGAGGRTGACTATCAGCTACYACTACATAAAGCTGACTCATTAACTGGAAACTATCTCTAGAAATTAGCCYGTTGTAGTGGTACGTGTCAGGATTGTTTTCTGAAAGCTGCATTAAAATCCATTCAGTGGTTCATGAGATATTTTGCTAACAGAGTTGAATTCATTAGTTATTGGCAGGTTTTATAAACAGATTTAAGTTTATCGTTTAGTGCTTGTGTTGGGGATGGGTATTACTTGTTTCAGTACTTATTTATAAGAACGTAGTGGCTTCATCTTTTCCTGGACACCATTTGAAAATTAGTTCTCTCTCTCTCTCTCTCTCTCTCTCTCT